ACATTAGCTCAACAAATGTTTCAGTAAACTGAAGCAGCTATGTAATCTGAACAAATAGTCAGCTATTACGGGATTTACACTCATTGGCTCGTTAATTAAATAATGTGTCAACATAACAAAATGGTTGTCTCTCGCTATCTCAGAGGAGCAAAATCTCCCCAGGGCAGAATGTTCCATCTTCTGAGATTCTCCTATAATAGGCAGGGGACAGCAGACCCAATGTTTCACTTAAATTAGCTAGAGATTATATAGTCCTGTTGCTTTTCTGGTTTAAAACTGCATAAGAAGCAAAGCAATTTAAATAAGGAAGTGCACAGAACACTACAGTGATTTCAAATAATCGGGCTGGAAAGAAAAAGTCACTAGTGATGGGCCAATGGCAAGGGTTATGCTCCTGAATGAGACACTAAAAATACAAATCTAAACGTCTTTTTCAAGAACACCAAAGACCAGACCGGTGATCACATGCTTCACTCCAAAATGCGGCTGAAATAGAAACTCTTGTCAGAAAACATTTGACCACTATCCTTTACCAACAGAGGCGAATCATACTACCCTTTCCAGCCACTATGAAAATTAACTTTCTTACCATATTGAGAAATCCCCCAACCACCCACCCCTACCCCAAAATCCAGGAGGCAGGCCAATACCTGCCATCCAGTTAGTGGTAGATAAAAATCTGCAAGATGTTTTACTTAATAATCTCAATGTAACAGAATCCTAACAGAAGAGCACAAGGAGTGGCTGTTACTCTGTAAATGGTCACATTACAACACTAAAGCCAAAGCCACCGAGATAAATGCAAAATAAATTAGAACCCTTGGAGAAGGTTCCAATAGCCTAATTTAAGAGTCTATTTAGGGATCCCTGGGTGGCGCAGCGGTTTGGCGCCTGCCTTGGGCCCAGGGCGCGATCCTGGAGACCCGGGATCGAATCCCACGTCGGGCTCCCGGTGCATGGAGCCTGCTTCTCCCTCTGCCTATGTCTCTGCCTCTCTCTCTCTCACTGTGTGCCTATCATAAATAAATAAAATAAAATAAAATAAAAATTTAAAAAAAAAAAAAAAAAAAAAAAAAAAAAAGAGTCTATTTAAAATAAAATAGCAACAGAATAATTACTAAGAGCTGTTTCCTAAAATTACCCTCCTCTTGATATTTCTCAATTCTAAAATGTCATGAGAAATATGTTCACCATCTTCCAGTTCTGCCTTAAAACAAAGCGTTACCAAAGAATACCACTGAAAAACAGAGGCATTCATACAAGGAAGTGAATACCCTAAACATATAAGTATGTTCTCAAGAGGGACACTAAAAAAGCAGAAGTCACATTAAGTTCAAAACACCAAAAAAAACAAAACAAAACAAAAAACCAGAAGTTCCTAATTTTAATATTATATATTGCTCCCGCAAAACTGCCTATGAGTTAAGATTTGTCTATTTTATATAGAGAGACTCCATATATTTAGGACTCCCTGCTCTTTAGGAAGAGTAGAAAAAGCAAAAGAAAAAGGAATTAAGCACTGTATACCACATTTATAAAAGTGCAGTTTCTTAAAAATGAAATTCAGATTTGGTCTGGGGGTTCTTGTTTTATTTAGCTTCCCTTTTGCCAGAAACTTTAAACAGCACTGATTTTCAATGAGATTCGGGTACATTAGACTCTGGAATAGGAGTGTTAATTTCATATTACTCCAAAAGGTCTGTACTCTTCTCTGACTTTCCCTGCTAGACATTCCTTATCAAAGAGCAAACCCTGCAAACCCAACAAGATGCATGGGCTAACAAAAAAGGGCAAGCAAGCCAAAAATACCTAGCACGTGTTCATTTACACAATTTGGCTTTTCACAACAAATAAACTGAAAGGGACTGATATTTTCTCTTATGGCTCATGACCATGAACGGGCTTGTAAAAATTATCTGGTGATCACTTAGCATTAAAAGAAAGATTTTTCTTCTTATGTCAAGGTAACAATTTAAGCAATCTTGGGTGTATACCCCTTGAAACATGGATGCTTTCAATGGAGAACAGCTTTGATTTAAATTCTAATATTTTTTTTTTAGATTCTAATATTTTACAAAATTGCATGGTTTCAAATTCACCATAAAGAAGATGCCTCTATTTTATCATCAGTTCTACCAAGAGCTATTTAGCACGTTTACTGTGCAACTCATGATGGTGTTACTTAGAAAAGAAGCTGGGGGGGGGGGGTGCGGATCCAGCCCTAATCCTTTGATATACTATTTGAAACTCTATTAATCTGATGAATGATCTTCTCTGGGGTGGTGCTAATGACATGAACCACTGAAGTCTTTAACTAGTTCCATCAATAATAAGTCATTTTCGAGATAAGATTACAACTGGGTATGGCCCTCACCAAACCCTTTGCCAGTTCAATCGGGCCCTTCCTTGGTCATTTAAACAACGAATTCCTGTTTGGAATCAACCTATTCAATGTGCGTGTAAAAGGAAACCCACTTCCACCTTTTAACAAAGTACCACCAGGGGATCTGCAAGTTGAGGAAAGTCGCTGGGGTGATACACTTAGCACGAAAAAAGAAAACTGTGTGGGTCACCAGCCACTCATCATTGTGTGGGGGCACGAAAGAGGGAAGGAAAGGAGGATAGGAAGAGGAATAGACTGGACCCCAAAGGCAGCAAGCACTGAAAACTGCACTTTAAGTACCTGGGACAAAAAGGCAAGGAGTCGGCACTCCCCAGCTAAGGAGCCCCCGGGGAGCTGAGAAGAGGATGCAGTTGGCAACAGGGGCAGCAGAGAAGGAACGACCAGAATGCAGCACAAGGGAGCCACAGGCACGGGGCAGCAGGGACCCATAATGATGGGGCTGGAGGTGTGATGGAGATGGGTCAGCAGGGACAGGGATGGGGCTGAAGGGCAGGAATGGGGCAGGAGGGACCCATAAGGATGGCGCTGGAGGAACAGGGATTGGGCAGGAGGGACAGGGATGGGGCAAGAGGGGCAGGGATGGGACAGGAGGGCGGGCATGCAGGCGCGGGGCAGCAGGGACCCATAAGGATGGGTCTGGAGGGGCAGGGATGGGGCTGGAGGGCAGGCAGGCACGGAGCAGCAGGGACCCATAAGGATGGGGCTGAGGGACAGGGATGGGGCTGGAGGGACAGGAATGGGGCAGGAGGGGCAGGGATGGGGCTGGAGGGGCAGGGGAGGGGCAGGGATGGGGCAGGGATGGGGCAGGGATGGGGCAGGAGGGGCAGGGATGGGGCTGGAGGGGCAGGGATGGGGCTGGAGGGCAGGCAGGCACGGAGCAGCAGGGACCCATAAGGATGGGGCTGAGGGACAGGGATGGGGCTGGAGGGACAGGGATGGGGCTGGAGGGACAGGGATGGGGCAGGAGGGACAGGGATGGGGCAGGAGGGGCAGGGATGGGGCAGGAGGGCAGGCAGGCGCGGGGCAGGAGCGAGCCTCGGCAGAGCGGCGCTGACGGCCCCGAGGATGGCGCTCACCCCACACAGGGAAGGCACAGGAGGCAGAGGGCGACGGGGACGGAGCTGGTCCAGCCAACTCGCAGCCACATCCCGGCAGCCCGAGGCTCGGGCGCTCCCGCGCTCCGCGTGCGGCCCCGGGCACTCTGGGGCGCTCTCAGCCGGAGTGCCCCCAACAGCCCTCCGAGACCCATTTCAGAGACGGGGACGGCGAGGCCGGGGCGGGGGGCCGCGGCCGAGGCCGAGCGCCCGACCCTCCCGGACGCAGGGGGTCGCTGGCGGCCGCGGGGGGCGGCTGCGCGGGGGGCGGCTGCGCGGGGGGCGGCGCGGGCCCGGCGGCCGGTACCTGGGCTCGGGCAGCACGATCTTCTTACTGGCGCGGGCGGCCGGGGTCGCCTTGCTCTTCTCCATCGCCATCAGGTAGCTGACATCGGCCAGCACGGCCTCCAGGTCCGCCATGTTGGCGAGCGGCGGCGGCGGCGGCGGCGGCGGCGGCTCCTCGGGACCCGGACGGGACGCGCTCCCGCCGCCGCCGCCCGCCGCGCCCCGACGTGGGGGGGCCGCCCCGGGGCAGCCCCCCCCCGCGCGCTCCCGCGCCCCCGCGCGCGCCCCCGCGCCCCGCTCGGCGCCCCGCGCGCGCCGCAGCCTCTCGCCCGCCGGGGTCGCCGCGCGCCGCCCCGCCCCCCGCGCGCCCCCGCCCCGCGCACGCGCACGCGCGCCCCCGCCCCGCCCCCGCCCCCGCCCCAGCCCCTCCCTCCGGGGGTCGGCGGGGAGCGCGCCCGGAGGTCCGAGCCCCTGTGCGCGCGGGCGGAGCTGCCCCGCCCGCCCACCCCCGGTCTCCTGACCGCGTGCCCGCGGGCACGGTCCCGCCCCCGCCGCGGGGCGGCCACGGGGGACTTCCTCGGGTCCTCCGGCCCCTCCTGCCCCGCCCGCCCCTCCCCTCCTCCCCTGCACTTCCCGCCCCGAGCTCCCGCCGCGCTCCCCCCGCCCCCAGCCCCGCCCCCGGCCCCCGGCCCCCGGCGCCCACCCGCCAGGGGCCCCGCGGAGCCCTCCCTAACCCGGCGGGGCCCGTCCGCATTCCCGCCGGCGGCCCGGGGCGGCTCCGGGACAGCGCTCGGCCCACCTGTGCCCGCGGGGGACGCCGAGGCGGGCCTCGCAGCCTCGCTCCTGGCCCGCAGCCCCGCGGGAGACTCGGCCCGGAGGGACCTAAGCGCTGGCCCAGGTTGCTCGTCCCACCTAAGCCGGGCAGAGCTGGAGGGGCAGGGGCAGGACCCCCGAGGGAGGAGCCGCTGGCCGGCGCTCAGGTGACAGGTGGGGGCTGGAGGTTAAAGTGCTCGCTGAGGACTAGAACGGCGGCTCCTGCGGTCTGACCCTCGTCCTCGGTCCCGGAGACGACTGGGGAGCGCCCGCTGCGCGCACAGGCCCTCGGCGAGGGTGATTCGGGGAAGTGGAAAAGCGAGAGCCCCAGCGCCGAGGCAGGAGGGAATTTCCAGCTTCCTGAGCCTCAGTCTCGGCCCCGGTGTCTGGTCGCCACTACCCACCCCAGCCCGAGGTTCTCATTTGCTTCTCATTTTTCCACAGCGGTGCACATGGGTCCAGTTCAGAACCCATGTGGCGCTCGCTCGGGCTGCAGTGGTTGTTAAAGGACGCTCGGGAAGTCCTCAGATGACCTGCACTGGGAATTAATTACTCTTTTTTTAATCCCCCTTAAGGGGTGCCTGGCTGACTCAGTGGGTGAAGTGGCTGCCTTTGGCTCGGGTCATGATCTCAGGGTCCTGGGATCCAGCCCCCGTCAGACTTCCTGCTCAGCAGGGAACCCGCTTCTCCCTCTCCCGTTCCCCCTGCTTGTGCTCTCTCCTTCGGTCTGTCAGATAAATAAAGTCCTTTTAAAAATTAAAAAAAAAAAAATCCCGCCCAATTCATGCCCATTGGTTGCATTGCACGGGGAGCAGAGACTCAGCACTAAGATTTGAGTCAATGTCCTGTCAGTAGCTTACAGAGTTAACGGTTCACCAGAAATGGTCCGGGTCACATTTTAGGCAGTAAATGTAATGTCACAGCAGAAGCAGCCTCATTTGGTCATCATGAGGACTGCTGCCCTCTTTTGTTCTCTCCCTCCGTCTTACCACATCACCGCCCACCCCCCATCATCTGTTTCCCAGTTACGCCTGCCATCCTAATTGGCCAGTTTTACCAGATATTTCTCAAGATTCAAGGCATGATATTGGTAAAGTTCTCCAGAAAAGGATAAGACGGACGTAAGGAGTGGGAACATGAGTCAAAGGAGCTTGGTCAGGCAGCAGAAAGCCAGCACAAGCAAGATACTAATGAGACAAAGATTTGCATGAACCAAATATCAAACTTACATCTTCTACCCACTATTTTTTTTTTTTAGCCTAAAAATGGGAACACAGAATGTCATGTCAAAGGTCACCCCAGGAGGAGGGGGCAAGTTCCCAAAAAAGTAGAACACATTTTTCTGACTTAAGTAATACAATTTCTTTCAATATATCTTTGGATCACTCAGGCTTTCACATGATTGGGTCCTGAAATAAATACATACTTTTTGCCTCCTTTTTCATGGTCCCTCCAAGTACTGAGATTTTTAACCTTGCCTCTGACTTCAGTTAAGAATTTTGGTGGTGGTTTGCTTGTTTTGTTTTGGAAGGAGGAGGTTGGTGTGTGTGTGTGTGTGTGTGTGTGTGTGTGTGTGTGTGTGTGTATTTTCAGCATGGTGTGGTAAACTTGGAACAAGAAACACACCAGAATTCAAATCCCTGCTGGGCTCTGACTTGCTGGGTGATTCCAGGGGCAACATTTTACCTCTTGCTTTATTGTTCTCATTAGTACAGTGGACATGAAGCTACAGACCCCAGGGTTATAAAGAAGACCAAGATGAAAGAAAAAAAAAAAAGAAGAAGAAGACCAAGATGATGATACACATAAAAATGCCTAGCCTGCCATCCAGTAAGTCCCCAATAAAGGTCACTGCACTAACTCTATTTACTTTGCTTCATTTTACCCTGGCATGCGAGAGAAGATACTGAAACTAGTTATTCACAGTCACTACACTTGAAGCAGGAAGACCCTTTACCAAAAATAACATCCCCCTGGGCTTTTCTAGGAACCAAAATTAGCATAAATGATTAGCCTTTATAAACATGAGCAATTACTCTTCCAGGAGAAAGAACAGGGAGTCCAAAGTCAGGTCCCCTAACTGAGGCCCCTTTACCATTGAAGTCAGCTGACTGGAGCACCCAGGGGTATTTTTCCTTGGTATTAATAGTGTGCGAACCTTGGTTCCCTAGCTCTCTCCTTGGCTCTCTCCACCCCCGCCTCTCTTTCTTTCCCTTGACTCTCTTAATGCTGAACAGCTTTTTGTGTTCACTGCAAACAAAAGGCGCTAATGACAGTGATGAAGTTGTCATAACTGACCTGCTGGATCCTGTTGCTAAACACCATGGCCAGCCTGTAATCATTACTACGAACTGAGAAAACAAATAGCAATCCATTTGTACTACGCCAATCATGTTCCTTTGCAAATAATGACAGTCCTCTCCCTCCTCCTCCCCAAGATGATTTAAATGGCTTTGGGCTCCCGCTGCCTGTGATAATAGATAAAACTCCCCAAAGTTCCTGCAAGGTTCATAATGTTCTCATTTCTCTTTTCTATGACTTCCCAGGATTCAGAAATGTGTAGTGGAGATGGATGCATTAAAGTTTATACTCTATAGGGTTAATTTTGATAACCATTTCAAAGGGGGGAAGCTAACTAGAGAACTAACTGGCCTTTTTTTGTTTTAGAGTCTGGGCTTTGCTGGGACTATCTACAGTGAGATTCCGCCAGACAATAAGGAGGGTTGTTCTGGGAAATTAATCAAGCACACATGAAAAAAGTCAACTCTAAGACTCACACGAGATGATTTTGGGAGCCAGAAGAACGTGCCTGACCTTAAATTCATTAATATCATAATATATAATTCAATCACTGCTAAGAGAGACATGACTGTTTTATAAGCAATACTGTAAGTGTGGTTGCTACCCAAAAAGCACCACCCATGATTGACATTTGACTGGGTTTATTTCCAAACTTCACACTCTGCAAAGTCTGCAGAAATTTCTAGCCACACAAGAGCCACCATCCCATTTCACTTATAACCTTGACCACAATCCTATCACAATCCTGCTACTTGTCACACACATCACATCTCCTTTTCCTGCTGTTTTATCAGCAAAGCTTTATAAACTTTAATGGTGGCTCTATACAGAGCAACCCAATACTTTAAAGGATCTGTCAGAAAATATGACATCAAGCTTTGGTTTGCTTGGCACTGAAATGATGTTTAATATAGAAATGCCTTCCTTGGGCAGCCCGGGTGGCTCAGTGGTTTAGTGCCACCTTCAGCCCAGGATGTGACCTTGAAGACCTGGGATAGAGTCCCATGTCAGGCTTCCTGCATGGAGCCTGCTTTTCTGTGTGTGTGTGTGTGTGTGTGTGTGTGTGTGTGTGTGTGTGTGTGTCTTGGATAAATAAATTAAATATTTAAAAAAAGAAATGCCTCCCTTTAAATATGTAGGTGGAAACTCATTTCTCTACCAGGGCTCTAGGTCAGGGAGTCCCTCTCTAGAGAAAGGCCATAGGGTGTTGTGGTTCAGCATTTGGGCTTGGGAGCCAGATAACTTGTGTTAGTACCCCAACCCCAGATAACTTGTGTTAGAACTTCTGAGCTGTGTGGCCTTAGACAAGTTGCTTAATCTCTCTGTACCTCAGCACTCTCTCAGTGGTATTAATGGCATTGCTAAGGGATCCCTAGGTGGCTCAGCGGTTTGGCACCTGCCCAGAGCGTGATCCTGGGATCGAGTCCCGCATCGGGCTCCCTGCGTGGAGTCTGCTTCTCCCTCTGCCTGTGTCTCTGCTTCTCTCTCTCTCTCTCTCTCTCTCTCTCTCTCTGTCTCTAATAAATAAATAAAATCTTTTAAAAAATAGCATTGCTAGGAGAACAATGTGACACATGAAAGGCACTTAGAACAGGGTCTGACACATAGAAAACACTTGAAGAATTTTATCACTGACATCATCCTCATCGTCATTGGAGTATCTCTGTGCTATGCAAGGTACGATGGGAAAAGACCAGTTCTGGGAAGGAAAAAGCTGTGCTGGATGTGACCCCTGGCTCTGGTGTTGGCTGGATAACTGGAAGCAAGCCTCTTATACTGTTTAAATATCACTTTTCACAGCTGACTAGTATTGGGATTGAATGAGCTGGTCCCCGAGGTCCCATCAAATTCTAAAGTTCTGTGGATTTATTTAATCCTCCAGCAAATCCCTTTGCAAGGTGAAGAATACTGGCGCCTCTCAATAACATAATATCTCAAGAGTTTCAGTTTTACTGTATCAGACAATACCCAGCGCGTTAATCCTTACTGTCGTCACAACCCACAGGTGAGGCGAGCAGTCCATCAGCAGTTTTCTAGAAGAAAGCAGGACTGTATTTGTTCCTCCAGCATCTGCACTTGGCACACTTGACCTTGCTCAATAAATATGCGTTGAATGAATGAATGAATGAATGACATAAGAGATTATAGATTGTTCGCCTCAAAGAGCTATCCACCAGAGATCATCTAAAGGCAGAGAAAAATGCTATTTAAAACCTCAAGTGTTGGGCAGCCCAGGTGGCTCAGCGGTTTAACACCGCCTTCAGCCCAGGGTGTGAACCCGGAGACCTGGTATCGAGTCCCACGTCGGGTTCCATGCATGGAGCCTGCTTCTCCCTCTCCCTCTGCCTGTGTCTGCATCTGTTTCTCTCTGTGTCTCTCATGAATAAATAAATAAAATCTTTAAAAAAAATAAAACCTCAAGTATCTACTAACGAAGGAGCATCCTGGTAAAGAATGAGCCCTAACCTCCCTGGGTCCCTGTTGGCCTTGCTGCTGTTAATGGCTTAGAAGGGTTCTCTGGCCTCTAAGAGCCCGGATGAGCTGTGGCTATACAAAAGCGGGTCTGGAGGCTTTAGGTCTGGGTAGGGATAGAGGTAAATCCCTTTGCCTAATAGGAAGATTTGGAGGAGGGAGTAAGGCAGAGAAAGCAATGAGATGGCCCAGGGCCAGGCTCTCCAAGGGATGGGTAGTCATCCCCAAAAGTCAACCCCAGGGGATGAGGGGTTGTCCAGGGAACATTCAGGAATAGGAAATCTGTTCTCTCATCTGTGTTAAGTGTGCTGTTCTCTTCAGTAATGCCATGCCTTTCTGGGGACCCTGACAACCTCATGGCTTGTATTTGCGGGTGCTTTGATGGTAGCTTGCAGTGGGAGCCAGTGCCCACATGAGTGAGAAAGGATCAGCCATGAGACCAAGAGAATAAGAGCTCAGCAGAGACAGGAATGCAGGATCAGCAGTGATGTCTGGAAAGTGGCCTCCTTGGAATCTTTAGCCACCCAAGGCAGGTGTTTGTGTCTCCCTCTTGAGCAGTGAGAAGATGATCTCTAGATATGTAAGTCACAAAACACCAGAACTTTGCTGCATCACCAAGTTCCCTCTGGCCCTTAACCTGGTGGCCTTCCCTCCATAGTTCTCCCTGAAAGTGCACGTGCCACCCAGCTGGGGAAAAAAGACCAATCCCAGAAAGGCCACCATAGACCTAAGAAAAATCCTATTGACCTCCTGTGTCACACCTTACAAACACAAATGATCTGTGGCATGCCAGGCTGGCCAGTGGCTGCCAGAGACCCAGACCCCACCTCTCAGCTTGCATGTCATTTCCATCCCAGCCAGTTCTCTGTCTTCTCTCCCTACTGGAGGAAATAACTCCCCAGCTGGTCTCATTGTGCCAGAGCTCAGGGGTGTAGACTCAGCCACAAAGTCATGGTACTTGGGCCAGTCCCTGCATAACCCCGATCCAAGGGGAC